TTCCTTCCATACATTTCACCAGTGGCGGCTCGTGTATAGGCAATGCGGAACTGCAGCACCCCCTATTTTCACTCGATATTATCGATAACATTGAATATAATGAGTCTTTTTTTTAAATCTTTCTTTATACGTACTTGTACATTATATAATCCTTAACCCTTTCAGGGTTTCCGACGTACTATTATGGCTTATGCACCAGGGTTATTGATGTACTAGTACGCATAAATTCTAGTGCCTTCAAATCTAGTGAGAGAAAGCTGGTAGGCCTGCATATGGAAGAATGGGTCTATGTGGTCAGTATGCACAGCATAAAAATAATCCTGCAGCACACAGTGCATAATGAGAAAAAAAAACTTTGACCATGCTTTTGGTTTAAAACAGCGACTTTGCACTGTATTTTCGTATGGTATTTATGGTTGTATTCTAGTTTTCCTGGTCTCATTTTATAGAATGGAAGACATATTACAAAAATTGAGATGATTGTGATTGGTGTCACAATGAAAAGTACCTTGAAATTGAGCTCAAAGTAGCAGAAATGTTAAATTTTTGCCAAAGTTCAAAAGTAAACAAATCATGCCACACGTCCAATATACGTCAACTGGTGAATCTAATATTCTTTCACAAGTGCGCTGATATTATTTATACCATTTCTACACTAATGCAGTAGACTGCATAACAGTAAATCTTCTATTTTTTGAGAGAATAAAAATTCAAAGTGGAAAGCAAAAGAAATGTAAGAGGGGTCTGGGACATGACTAATGAACAGAGGAAATGTTATTTTAGTGCCAGGAATGTGTGACTTGTTTATTCTGGACCCTATTTGAAAATTGGCATCTTTTGAAATTTGTGTGAATTTGGCAAAATTGCTAATTTCTGACCACTTTATTGGATAGTTTAATTAGTAAATGGGTGGTTTCTTGTACTCATGCGATAGAAAAAATGGAGTTCTAGCGAAATAGTTATGATTTTTGTCGATTAGTACACTAGAACTGGCTGAAAATAGGGTTCAAAATGGGCAAAATTGCTGATGGGCAAACATCGTCGAGACCGCTACCTTTGCGAGAGCATAATTCATAAGTTTTCCATCAAATTTCATACTTTTGGTGTCATTATGATTGGGAAAAGATTCTCTATCATTCCATAAGAATTTTTTAAATTTTCAACCCTGAGAAGTTTAGGAGAGGGCCTCTTGACCCTGAAACAGTTAAGCTTAATGTCAGTAGCCAGTAGTACATGAAAAAATTAGAAAAATCCTTGTGTGGAACTATGCGATTCACAGTTGCAGCAACTCGGTGTTTGGCTGTTGCGCATATACGGACATGTCCAAGATAAGACGCTGCACGCTAAGTAGAGAGAGCACTGTCGCTGATGCAGTGCCAACCCTGTTGTGCAACACACCCCCCCCACTCTTCATAGATCTAAACTTATTCCCTGTTCAGTACATCCACACTTACTACTGTGCAATCTACATCTACAGGACCTTAAACTCCAATATCAACCTTGACCTAAAACGCTTTCTTGATAGTTGTGACAGAACCCACAGGCATAACACCAGACACAAACATCTCTACGACATTCCCCATGTCCGACTAAACCTTTACAAAAATTCAATGTATGTCAAAGGCCCTAAAATCTGGAACACCCTACCTGAGAACTCTAGAACTGCAGACACATTCATCACCTTCAAAACTACCATTAGAAAACATCTTATCTCCCTGATAAACCCCATCAACTAACTACACGAATACCACCTGGTGGTTCACACTTACACTTTCACTCACCCATTTGACCATAAACAGAAATATTTATCTCAATCTTAAAATAATGAATCCTATGATACTCCAATACTGAAACTATGTACTGTGCCAAAACAAAAGCATTCACATTGCTAAACTCACAAACTAGTATTTAGTCACTTAGCCATAATACCAACTTACCTCATAATTTGTAATATTTTAAAATAAAGAATTAAACTAAGTCTGCCCGAAATGCCTAGCCATGCTAGGCGTTCTAGTGGTACACTCTGTAATCATTATTTAACTACATGTAAACCACACAACAACCAAATTCTGTAAATTCAACATTGTAATCTTTATAGAGAATAAACTTTGAATTTGAATTTGAATTTGAAGTGTAAGGTAGTGTTTCTTTCTGACTCAGTGACGTGTGTTGTGCTTAACCCTTTGACTGTCGCGGCCGTATATATACGTTTGTGAGGTACCGTGTTTGACGTATATATACTCATAAATTCTAGCGGCTTCAAATCAGGCAGGAGAAAGCTAGTAGGCCCACATGTGAGAGAATGGGTCTGTGTGGTCAGTGTGCACCACATAAAAAAAATCCTGGAGCACGCAGTGCATAATGAGAAAAAAAAAACTCCGACCGTTTTTTTTAATTAAAATGCCGACTTTGTGGTCTATTTTCGTATAGTATTTGTGGTTGTATTCTCGTTTTCATGGTCTCATTTGATAGAATGGAAACTATATTATAGAAATGGAGGTGATTTTGATTAATTTTACTATAAAAAGAACCTGGAAATGGAGCACAAAGTACAGGAAATGTTTGATTTTTGCCGATGTTCAAAAGTAAACAAATGATGTCATTGTCCAATAAATGTCCAAATAGCCATTCTAATACGCAGTCATGAATTGGTTGATGTAATTTTTACAATTATTACAGTATTGCAGTAGTCTGCATAACAGTAAATCTTCTATTTTTTGTTTGAATAAAATTTCAAAATAAAAAGCAAGAGTAATATCACAGGGACCTGGAGACATGACTGATGAACAAAGAAAATCTTATTTTAGAGCCAGGAATGTCTGCATTGTTCATTCTGGACCTTATTTTGAAATTGTCGTATTTTTTAATTTTCGTGAAATTGGCCAAATTGCAAATTTCTGACCATGTTATTGGGTAGTTGACATCGGTAAATGGGCAGTTTCTTGTGCTCAATCGATAGAAAAAATAGAGTTCTGAAGAAATAGTTATGAGTTTGGTTGACTGGAATAACGGAATTAGCCGAAAATAGGGCTCAAAGTGGGCGAAATTGCCGATTTTTAAATATCGCCGAAGTCGCTAACTTCGCGAGAGCGTAATTCTGTCAGTTTTCCATCAAATTTCGTTTTTTTGGTGTCTTTACAATCGGGAAAAGATTCTCTATCATTTCATAAGAAAAAATAATTTTTTTTTTTTTCGAATATTTTGCGACACCAGGAGCAACTTCAGGATTGGGCCCTTCGACAGTCAAAGGGTTAAAAACCGTGTACCATATCTTGAATATGGTAAAGTGTAGAATTAGATGATCATCATACTTCCAGCTATTTTATTTAATTCATAATTTTTTGGGGTTCTTTTATTTTGCAGAAAATAATTTAGACATGGCCTCCTTGTGACTGTGACTATGGAACAGATCTCTTCTTGAGGCTGAGGGACTGACAACCTCAAATTTCCGACTATAAGGGTGTTGGACTGATTACATCGTCTTCACATCTCTACTGCTCTTACCTATTATTGTACTCGACTGAGAAGCCTACTGTGTAGGTAAAACATTTCGGAATAAAGTTGCCTAACTGTTGCTCATGTGTCTTACCTACCATGGGAGATTCTAAAGAAAAGTCGCAAAGGTTAGTGGACGAGTTTGGGAGGGTGTGTAAAGGTAGAAAGTTGAAAGTAAACATAGATAAGAGTAAGGTGATGAATGTATCAAATGATTTAGATAAAGAAAAATTGGATATCACAATGGAGAGAGGGAGTATGGAAGAAGTGAATGTTTTCAGATATAGTAGTACCTCAGGATACGAACAGCTCAAAACTCGAACAATTATGTAAGTGCTTTTGTAAATGTATTTTTGGGGGGTCTGAAACAGATTAATCTAATTTACATTATTCCTTATGGGAACAAATTCGTTCGGTATCGGCACTCGAACAGCCTTCTGGGACAAAATAAGTTCGTATCCCGAGGTGCCACTGTATTTGGGAGTTGACGTGTCAGCGTCACAAGAATACAAACATAAATACTATATGAAAATACATCTCAAAGTTGGCATATTAATCCAAAAACACAGTCGAGTTTTTTTCTCTCATCATGCACTGCTTGCTGCAGGACTTTTTTATACAGTGCACACTGACTACACTGACCCATTCTCTCATATGTGAGCCTACCAGCTTTCTCCTGCTTGATTTGAAGCTGCTAGAATTACTGAGTATATATACATCTGAAACACTGGCTCGTAAGACGTATATACATGGCCGAAACAGTCAAAGGGTTTAAGTGCAGGCACTGTACTTCCTGTTTCCAGTAATCAAGTCTGGCAATATAAAAATAACTGGTTTCCCTGAATCCCTTCACTAAATATTACCCTGCTCACACTCCAACAGCTTGTCAGGTCTCAAAAACCATTCGTCTCCATTCACTCCTATCTAACACGCTTACGCACGCTTTCTGGAAGTCCAAGCCCCTCGCCCACAAAATCTCTTTTACTCATTCCCTCCAACCTCTTCGAGGACAAACCCTACCCCGCCTTCCTTTCCCTAAAGATTGATAGGCTCTCTATGTCTTTCTACTTTGATCCATTCTCTCTAAACGACGAAACCACCTCAACAACCCTTCTTCAGCCCTCTAATACTTTTATCAATTCCACAGCTTCTTCTAATTTCCACACTCCGAATTTTCTGCATAATATTTACACCACACATTGCCCTTAGACAGGACATATCCACTGCCTCCAACCTCCTCCTTGCTGCAGCATTTGCAACCCAAGCTTCACACCCATATAAGAGTGTTGGTACCACTATACTTAAGTACACTCCCTTCTTTGCCTCCACAGATAACGTTTTTTGTCTCCACAGATACCTCAACGCACCACTCACCTTTTTTCCTTCATCAATTCTATGGGTAACCTGATCCTTCATAAACCCATCCGAGGTATGCTTGTACATACATACATATATCTATACATGAACAAATAATTTTTTCTAAAGTGTTATTAAAATTCTTTGAATTTACCTTTAAAATTTATTTCTTGTATTAGTCTTCAGCAAAGATTTAAATTAGAAACACCATAAAATTATAAAAATTTTGCAAGTTCTTAATGCTCTTATTTTTATTAGAATAAAAGAAATAAAGAAAATATCTGCAATGGCTTAATACTTATGGGTTAATAATACAAAATGTGGGAATTATTGGATTATCTACCCTCTTGTGTTAAAATCATGCAGAATGCAAGACAGAAGGTTGAAAAAATTCTTAAATACATGTAATTTAAAATGAATGCAAAAAACAAATTTGAGTTGTGGATACATTACAAAAAAGATATTAAGCATTTGTCATTAGTTTTGAAATGAATTTCAAGAAGAATATCATATGTCAAGGATCATATATGAACATTTAGAATCCCACACTTTTCTATGTAAAAAGCATGTAGCACTGAAAATTTTAAGAAAATATATATTTTTTCTTATTCAAATTGAAGCAGTAAATGCCTTAAAAATACAGAAAAATAGCTCCCCTTAATAATAAGAGGAAATTCAGTGATGCCAAGGCATGAATGTATACTATATTTTTAAGTACATCACATGTGTCTGATGATAATATCTAATTGATTGAAACTAAAACAATGAAATAGAAAATAGTAGGTAAATAAAAATTAAATAATATTTGGCGGAGACAATGGCAAGCTGCCAAGAGTAACAGACACAACTGCAAAGGCCTTTATTTGCTTGTTTTACCCTACACTGGGCTTTCTCGAGTACATTACATTATAAAGCTTACAATGGAATTGTGTCTTTGTTAGATTTTTTTTTTTTTGATACAGTACTTGCAAATTGTAATAGTTGAAAAAAATCACATTTGAAAATGTATTAACAGATCAAATATAGAGCACCCCTTGCCCAAGACCTATAATAGTTTATACCAGCAGTTATTTGTGTTCTATTTGTGCACATTCTGCATTGATGATTACTGTACAACAATACACTACATTTGTACAAATAAACATGAAATCTGAATTTTCTGCAAATCACTTCTGGGTTACAGAAATCAACTTAAATTCGGGTACAGTATATTAAAATGTGTTTCCTACTTTTGAATACACAGTATGTTCAACAGAACATACAGTATATAAACAAATACTATATAATTATACCTTAAGGAATTTTTTTTTACCAATATTTCTGAAAATGAAACCATTAAAGGCTACTCAAATTGAATAATGTATGGTACTTACACTATAATTTTGTATATCTTCAATGCCATGCTAAAAGTTTCAATAGGCAAAAGGTATGCACTCTCTCTTCTTGAGGTTTTGAGTAGCATATTCCTTTTCACACAGTGTAAAATCTATTACACATAAGAATACCTCATCCATATATATATTAGCAATGGTTATGCTACATATACACTTAAAAAGAAATGAGTGGTGGATTTATGATAAAAAGACCTGTGTTCATGTGGGTGGGGCAGAGGCGTGGCACAAACTAAAAATTACACAACATTGAGAATTTGCATTTTAAAACCCATAAATTTGAGAACACAGTCCCTAGGACAAATTTAATCACCAAATATATAAATTAGTATTCACCCAAAACAGTGAAATAATTATATTATAAAGTACAGTATAGAGGGAAAAAATTCCTCAGGCTACTGAATGTTTGCTCACCAACAAACCATTAGAAATATTTTTCAAATTCTTTTTAGGATTTTTTTTTGCATTGTCAATAGAGCTTACTCATCTGGGAGTTACAATGATAAGCAAATATTTTTTTTTTTAAGCAACATACAGAAATTTACTCAGGATTTTACTTTGATACTTTAAGAAACCCAACCAATTCTAAATGTAAGCATAATTTAAAATTAATGCATCTGGCCAATCTTTGTTACTTATTTACAATGAACACAAAGGAAAAAAAAAAAGATACCGATAATTTAAAACAAAATATATTATTGTAATGTGCAACGTATAATATGAATTACTTTTTAAAATAGCATAAAATAGTATGCATCACAAGAAAAAATAAAAAGGTATTTTGGCCATTATCAGCAATAAGCAGACAGCTTCCTACTTTGCAAGAAATTACCTAAAGAAAATCACAAATCATTTTTTTAATTTAATATTACTATGATCATCATCACCAATCAATTGTGCTTGTGTTCAAACACACACACACACACACACTCTCTCTCTCTTTGGCATCTCCACAGTTCAGGAGAATATCTCCACAATTCAGTAATGGAACATCTCTGTCACTGCTGACAAACCTTTGCTGGGTGTTACAACAATGAAAGACAAAATTGGTAAATTCTGTCTTCATCTTCACAAGCACTTACAAAACAAGTGACTACATATCTGAAAAAGCGATTCGTTACAATACAGTATATTAAATCCTTTGTAAGTAAATAATTAACCAATTACTTATCAAAGGAGATTATATCCTAACTTAAACATTAGTGGCAGGGGCACTGTTATCAAGACCAGAGTACGAGTGTCTTTGGTTACTGTGAATGACGGGTGGTGTGGAGGCAGTAGCTACAGTGCCATCAACAGTAATCACAGTAGGGGAAGGCTGTTGGGGTGATGCTCGGGTATATACAGTCTCCTCTTCCTCTTCTGTGTGAGGTTGACTTGTTGGAGGAACATTGATCTCAGCACTGACAGTAGTTACCTGAAAGATTTGACATGGCTGCTAATGAGTCAATTACCAAGTAGGAATCAATTTTTTTTTTTACAAATGAAATAAAATTCCTCCTTTATGAGTAACACTGTTTCTTAATATTTTCCAATAAAAAGTGAAGATGCATTAGAGGTGCAGTACTCAAATACTGATATGTTATGATGCATGAAATGATTTTCTCTTTAAAGCATTTAACTAATAACTAAGAAACATTCATTAGTTAAAAAGAATAAGAAGAACAAGTTTAAAAAAACAAGAGATAGCATGCATTATATAGAGGGGGCTACAGCTAAGCATAAGTTTTCCTAACAACCACTACCACTTTTCATTTTACTTTCTTAGCAAATAATAAATGGCCAGCATTCTTTTTTTCCTAGCTACTTCTTAAATGTGCATTTTTCATTTATCTTCAGAATTAATTTAATGGGGATTACTGTTTAAGTATTAAACTTATTACATCAAGTTATGAAATTAAAATACAATACATTTAGTATTTCAATCATTACCAAAGTTCTTTGATAACTCAAAAACAATAATTTTAATGTTGCAACAGCCATTTGTAAATTACAAAAAATATTGGCACAGTAATCAGTTTCATCATCAAGTAATCACATTTCACACATATTCATACATATGAATATTCCTCTCCCCCCTTCCTTAGTTACATTACTGTACTAAAAAAAAAATGATTTTGTTGAAGCTGCAATATGCATTTAGTTTATATATATGTCAACTTGTGTGTAAATACAAAGACATATACATGCATGCCTGCATAAACTGAGTAACTAAATGATAAATGCATTACTGAATTTAACAAACTGTATATAAATGTGACTAATGGAAATGGGTAAAAAAAAAAAATGAAGATTATGGACTGTATAATCAAATATTAAAAAAGTCAGAGAAAGAGAGATGGTGATCACAAACAACAAGATAACACCAGAAAAAAAAGCCAGTGTATTGCAAGACTTACGCTATACAGTACACTGTATTTTAATGGAGAACTTAAAAATATAGCTAGTTTTAAGATTTCGAAGATAAAGGAAACTAAATGGTTGTGAATTACCTTTCTATGAACAAGTCTAAATAATGAAAATCTCGACAGTGACCAAAATTTTCTAACATCGGATTTTTTTTTATGCTTGCTGTGTATATGGCTGTGCTGAAAATGCATAAGCTGTCTAAACACTGTTGTGCTCCTTTCTGTGTGGCTTTTCATTATTTTGAGGTAAGTTACACTCTCAGAATGACTTTTAGACAGAAATGGAAAGTCAAGTATGGATAGTAAATCCATACTTGACCCGGGGGTCAGTCTCCTCCCAGGATCTCCGTGAAGAAAAGATGAAGGACGTTATGATGATCAGAAGAGATATAGACAATCCCAGCTTAACGAGTGACTTATGTTAAAAAAGCCCGATAACTTTTCAGTATATATTATTATTATAATCAAAAAGAAGCGCTAAGCCACAAGGACTATACAGCTTTTCAGTATATAAATTGAGAAATACTACGGAAAAAAAGAATTCTGACCCTAAAAACTCTGTCAATGTCCTTGAAGTTGTTTTTTTATTATTTTTTTTTATTATCACACTGGCCGATTCCCACCAAGGCAGGGTGGCCCGAAAAAGAAAAACTTTCACCATCATTCACTCCATCACTGTCTTGCCAGAAGGGTGCTTTACACTACAGTTTTTAAACTGCAACATTAACACCCCTCCTTCAGAGTGCAGGCACTGTACTTCCCATCTCCAGGACTCAAGTCCGGCCTGCCGGTTTCCCTGGATCCCTTCATAAATGTTACTTTGCTCACACTCCAACAGCACGTCAAGTTTTAAAAACCATTTGTCTCCATTCACTCCTATCAAACATGCTCATGCATGCCTGCTGGAAGTCCAAGCCCCTCGCACACAAAACCTCCTTTACCCCCTCCCTCCAACCTTTCCTAGGCCGACCCCTACCCCGCCTTCCTTCCACTACAGACTGATACACTCTTGAAGTCATCCTGTTTCGCTCCATTCTCTCTACATGTCCGAACCACCTCAACAACCCTTCCTCAGCCCTCTGGACAACAGTTTTGGTAATCCCGCACCTCCTCCTAACTTCCAAACTACGAATTCTCTGCATATATTCACACCACACATTGCTCTCAGACATGACATCTCCACTGCCTCCAGCCTTCTCCTCGCTGCAACATTCATCACCCACGCTTCACACCCATATAAGAGCGTTGGTAAAACTATACTCTCATACATTCCCCTCTTTGCCTCCAAGGACAAAGTTCTTTGTCTCCACAGACTCCTAAGTGCACCACTCACTCTTTTTCCCTCATCAATTCTATGATTCACCTCATCTTTCATAGACCCATCCGCTGACACGTCCACTCCCAAATATCTGAATACGTTCACCTCCTCCATACTCTCTCCCTCCAATCTGATATTCAATCTTTCATCACCTAATCTTTTTGTTATCCTCATAACCTTACTCTTTCCTGTATTCACCTTTAATTTTCTTCTCCTGCACACCCTACCAAATTCATCCACCAATCTCTGCAACTTCTCTTCAGAATCTCCCAAGAGCACAGTGTCATCAGCAAAGAGCAGCTGTGACAACTCCCACTTTGTGTGTGATTCTTTATCTTTTAACTTCACGCCTCTTGCCAAGACCCTCGCATTTACTTCTCTTACAACCCCATCTATAAATATATTAAACAACCACGGTGACATCACACATCCTTGTCTAAGGCCTACTTTTACTGGGAAAAAATTTCCCTCTTTCCTACATACTCTAACTTGAGCCTCACTATCCTCGTAAAAACTCTTCACTGCTTTCAGTAACCTACCTCCTACACCATACACTTGCAACATCTGCCACATTGCCCCCCTATCCACCCTGTCATACGCCTTTTCCAAATCCATAAATGCCACAAAGACCTCTTTAGCCTTATCTAAATACTGTTCACTTATATGTTTCACTGTAAACACCTGGTCCACACACCCCCTACCTTTCCTAAAGCCTCCTTGTTCATCTGCTATCCTATTCTCCGTCTTACTCTTAATTCTTTCAATTATAACTCTACCATACACTTTACCAGGTACACTCAACAGACTTATCCCCCTATAATTTTTGCACTCTCTTTTATCCCCTTTGCCTTTATACAAAGGAACTATGCATGCTCTCTGCCAATCCCTAGGTACCTTACCCTCTTCCATACATTTATTAAATAATTGCACCAACCACTCCAAAACTAAATCCCCACCTACTTTTAACATTTCTATCTTTATCCCATCAATCCCGGCTGCCTTACCCCCTTTCATTTTACCTACTGCCTCACGAACTTCCCCCACACTCACAACTGGCTCTTCCTCACTCCTACAAGATGTTATTCCTCCTTGCCCTATACACGAAATCACAGCTTCCCTATCTTCATCAACATTTAACAATTCCTCAAAATATTTCCTCCATCTTCCCAATACCTCTAACTCTCCATTTAATAACTCTCCTCTCCTATTTTTAACTGACAAATCCATTTGTTCTCTAGGCTTTCTTAACTTGTTAATCTCACTCCAAAACTTTTTCTTATTTTCAACAAAATTTGTTGATAACATCTCACCCACTCTCTCATTTGCTCTCTTTTTACATTGCTTCACCACTCTCTTAACCTCTCTCTTTTTCTCCATATACTCTTCCCTCCTTGCATCACTTCTGCTTTGTAAAAACTTCTCATATGCTAACTTTTTCTCCCTTACTACTCTCTTTACATCATCATTCCACCAATCGCTCCTCTTCCCTCCTGCACCCACTTTCCTGTAACCACAAACTTCTGCTGAACACTCTAACACTACATTTTTAATCCTATCCCATACCTCTTCGACCCCATTGCCTATGCTCTCATTAGCCCATCTATCCTCCAATAGCTGTTTATATCTTACCCTAACTGCCTCCTCTTTTAGTTTATAAACCTTCACCTCTCTCTTCCCTGATGCTTCTATTCTCCTTGTATCCCATCTACCTTTTACTCTCAGTGTAGCTACAACTAGAAAGTGATCTGATATATCTGTGGCCCCTCTATAAACATGTACATCCTGAAGTCTACTCAACAGTCTTTTATCTACCAATACATAATCCAACAAACTACTGTCATTTCGCCCTACATCATATCTTGTATACTTATTTATCCTCTTTTTCTTAAAATATGTATTACCTATAACTAAACCCCTTTCTATACAAAGTTCAATCAAAGGGCTCCCATTATCATTTACACCTGGCACTCCAAACTTACCTACCACACCCTCTCTAAAAGTTTCTTCCTTAAATTTTACACAAATATTGTAAATACAGTACACAGTATTTTCATTCACATGAAAGATGTATGTCAGGATAAAATTTGGAATCCAAGAAATGCATTAACCACATTTTCAAACATTTATTTAACTGGTTTGTATTTTGAGCCACATATGCTACAGCAAATGTTAATAAGTACAGTGGAACCTCTACTTGCGAGCGTGTCCACGAGCGAGTTTTTCCAAATACGAGCAGTCAATGGGTCAATTTTTTGCTTCCATACGTGAGCAAAATTTCCACAAGCGAGCAGACCTCAAGGCAGGTTTCTTGACACTGGTGAGGGACTCTTGCTCTTGATCTCGGGAATTGTATCTCATTTGTTTGTTGGACTATCTTATTTAAACTTGGGCAATGTATGATGGAAAGATGCTTCTTAACGTACACCAAAAATGAAAGAAATCTAAGCATAAATAATGGAGTTCACTTCTCAGTAATTAGCCACCTGTTTGCAGTAATTTCAAATGGTTTTTATGGTTGTATTCTTGTTTCTTTGGTCTCATTTGATAGAATGGAGATATATTACAGAAACAGATATGATTTTAATTGCTTTCACGACAAAAAGTACCTTGAAATAGAGCTCAACCTAGGAGAAATGGTCCATTGCTTGGCTGTTTCAGAGTAAACAAATGACGGCACTGTCCATTCCAATA